AAAGTAAGAAAGCTTAAATTAAATTCAATCCTGCTATAATTCCGCTTACTCCCCAAAAAATCATAAACTTGTAAAAGGTTAGATCTCAAATAAAATTTAACCGTCGAAGGAAATAAAACAGTGAGGATCGAGAATGTAAAATCACATTAAAAAAAATATGAGAGTGTGTTTCCAGATTTTCAAGATAGAAGGAGCAGGAGGGGTTAGCCGGAATACCCCTAAAAGTAAGATTAGCAGCCGTTTTGAGTTTCCCTTTCATTGCCATCCAAGTATAACAGACATAACGTAATGCGTAACCTTTGTGCCAAATATATTTAGTCCAAGCCACATCATTATAGTGAGAATGAAAAAAAGCCAAGAAATTCTTGGAAGATGGACTAGAGGAGCCGTCCCAAGAAAGCACCGATTGCTCACCAACAATGTCAATATTCAAAATAGTGGATTTAACATCAGCAGGTAAAAGCTCAGGGAGAGCCCAATGGTCTTGAGAAATGAAATCCCTAACCCACAAATGGGAAAATCTCTGAGTAAAACATTTCAGAAACAGATTTCTTATTGCACCAAGGATCCCAAAGGAATGAGAGTTTGCAATTCCTATGTACTGAGAGGGAAACAGATGAGAGAATGGAAGCAATCGTGTGGCAAAACAATTTCCAAAATTTAGAAGCAGTAATAGGGGGCAATTTCCATGGAGAATCAAACTTCTCACTATACCAAGAGCCAAACAAAGTGTCATAGTTGTACATCCTTAATATAAAATAGCAAGCCATATTATGATAAAGAGAATCAAAAGATGGTAGATTAAGTCCCCCCTTGCATTTAGGCAATGCCACAAATTTCCAAGAAATTAGATGGATCTTCTTCTCCATAATGTTGCCAAAGAAGAGAAACTTGGAACAAATTTTAGAAATAAATTTGCAACTGGCCTTAGGTAAAATCGCTCCATGAATCCAATAAGCAATAGTGTTAGCAATAGTGAATTTCAAGTATTGCACTCTACCTACAAAAGAGAGTAATTTAACTTTCCAACCCTCAAGTAGAGTAGAAATTCTACTCAGAAGGGGTTGGAAGTAAGATAAATTGAGTCTACAGGTAGAAATGGGAAGGCCCAAATAGGTGAGAGAGTTATCCACCCGAGAGATCCCAAGACAAGCATAAATCTCCTGGTCAATAGGAATATTTCTAGAAAAAGAATGGAGCTTTTAGAAGGGCTAATATGAAGACCAGAGGCATCAGAGAATTTGTGAAGAATATCTTTCAGGGATTTAGCATTATCAACAGTAGCTAAGCCAAAAACTAAAAGATCATCAGCATACATGAGATGATTAATACTGAAGTTATGATTCAGCATCCCAATGAAGGAGTGTTGATCTTTGTAATCCAGACTAGAAGAAAGAGCATCCATAATAAAGCAAAAAAAGAAGGGGAGGAAGAGGACATCCCTGCCTCAGCCCCGAGGAGGAATTAAAAAAGCCTTCCAAAACACTATTGAGACAAATAGAGAAATAAACCTCAGAGATACACCATTTAATCCAAATGATAAAAGTCTTCGGAAAACCTTTTTGCCTAAGTCTGTTGATCAGGAAGGTACGAGAGACAGAGTCAAAAGTTTTCTTAATGTCCAGCTTGGCACAAAAATATTTTTGATGCCTTTTAAAATCTCTCAATATCTCAGAGGCAAGGATGATGTTGTCACTAGAGCACCTCTCAGCAATAAAACCAGACTGGCTCATGAATGATGATGGGAAGGATGGGCTTCATCCTATTAGCAATAATCTTGACCATAATTTTATAAAACACATTACATAAAGAGATAGGATGAAAATCAGAAATAGAGTTGGAATGGGTTCCCTTAGGAATATGGGTGATGGCCATGGCTTTAGCACCTTTAGGCATCTACCCAGTGGTGAAGAAATATTTTATAGCTCTGCATAATTAAAAGCTAGTGATGTGCCAAATATGTTGGTAAAAACCAAAAGAGAAACCATCCAGACCTGGGGCTGAGGTAGGAACCCCTGCAAAAACCATATTCTTGATTTCAACATTAGTAACCGGAGCAATCAGACCCGCAATTAAATGGGAAGGGATAGTATTTCAAACAGGAATGCTAAATGAGCTTTCAAAAGGGGGGGGGGGGGGGAGCATTATAAAGCATCTTAAAATGGCCAATCAGAGCTTGAGCTAAGTCTGAATGAGAAGAAAGTAAACCAGTAGGTGAAGCAAGTTCCTTATTAACATTCCTGTTCTTCCTCGATCTTATCTTGACATAGAGGAAATCAAGATCATCCTATCCTTGGAAAAGCCAATAGGCTTTAGCTCTTTGTGAAATCCAAGAGGACTAAGCAGCTTGAAAGGAAGCTAACTTATCATTAGTATTCTTAAGAGAAGAGTTCAAAGCAGGGTTCAAAGGGTCCCTTTGAATTTTGGATAAGCATTGTAGTTGCAAATTCTTCTGCTCAAGGATGCAATTAGATATGTATTTAGAAGAGCACCAATTAGATATGATTTTCCAGATATGAGAAGCAAAAAGAATCAGGGGTGCATGATCAGACCCTGAGTGGGAATCCACTTTGTAGTAAGCAGCTGGAAAAAGATCCAAAAAGGCATAAATAACCAACATTCTGTCAAGCTTGATATGGATTGGGGAATCAATCCTTTGATTAAACCAAGTATAAAATAACCCCACAGAAGCAAGATCTTGTAATCCATAATAAAAAACAAAACGATTAAGCTCTCCCACTCTGTCAGTAGACATAGAGTTGCCACCAGCTTTTTTACAATCGAATCTATAGCAGTTAAAATCTCCCATGATAATCCAAAGGATGTCAATACGGGCAGAGAGGTCAAGAAGATCATTCTATAGAACTTTCTTGTCATCCAAACTATTAGCAGCATACACAACTGAGAGGTAGAAAGGGGGTAAGGAGCCTGCATCAACGAGGCCATGTATGACTTGTGAAGAGGAGAAAGAGGGGATGAAGGACAAATGAGAAGAGTCCCATTTAACCCAAATTCTATCAGGAGTAGAAAGGCTAAAGTTGTCACAACTTTTCTCGTTCTCAAACAAAGCATGGGTAAAAGCAAACCACGGGTCATTAATAGAAGAATGGTGGGTTTTAGCTTCTAAAATACAAAGAAGCTTCATATTGTAGGTGGATTTAAGGTCTTTGCACAGCATGACTTTGACAGTGTTATTAAACCCTCTAACATTCCAAGATGCAATTGGGGGAAGGGACATAGTTACTTGTGGGGTTTGGCCTTTTTGGCCGATTTGGCTTTGGCTTTTTTTTGGGGAGATTTATTATCTCCAGATGATTTTTTAGAGGAGGAGGAAGAGGCTTTGTGGTTAGAAGATTTTGGAGGAAGGACCTCATCATTTTTGGAGGAGGAAGAGAGCTCCTCCTCAAAGGAATCCTCTTCAGGAATGACAGGGTTATCCACAAGAAGTGAATCAAAACTGTTCGCAAGAAGGACTTGAGAAGGAATCAAAAATTTTTGAGGAAGGGGGAGTTTGGAAGAAGAAGATTTTGCATGAGGAAGGTTAAGATTTGGAAGAAGAGGATCATTGCCATGGTTGGAGTCAGTCGGCAGCTGCAAACAAGAATCAGCGAGGGGCTAATCCTGAGGAACAACAGCAGGAGTAACGGAAGTAGAAATTGGCATTACTGAAGATTCAGCAGGAGAGGATGAAACTGGTGGGGGAATTTGAGGAATTGACTCAATGGCCCGTGAAGAGGATCTGGCAGTCCTAGAAGTAGGGATCCTGCTTTTACTCCTGCCACGAAAAATAGGTTTAGGAGGAAGAGAAGGTTTAGGAGCTGGATTCATGGGACAAAGCGCAAAGGAATGAATGAGAGATCCACATCCCTCACACCTTGAAGGCTTCCAGTCATAAACGATCTTAAGCGTCATGTCTTCCCTGTCAATTTCCAAGGGGATTTCTTCTGCTAAAACAAAATTTTTGTCTACTTGAACACAAATCCTTGCAAATGTGAGCCTAGTCCTCTTAGCAGTCAGATAATCAACATATAGCGGTATACCAATAAAACTTGCAATTTAAGAAATACCTGCTAGAGTCCAGAGAGCAAGGGGGAGATTAAGAATTTTTATCCATTGAGGAATAAAAGACGATTCATCCCTTTATTTTGAATTCCACCTCTGAAGAATGAATGGCCTACCGAGTAAGAACCAGGGTCCGCCAGACCAGACCATGTCATAGTCCTTAACGACAGTGAATTTCAAGAGGAAGAAGTCGTTTGCAAGAGATAGCGAGCCCTTAAACTTCCACGCTTTATCCATGGCCATTAAGAGATGTTAATAGTAAGGAAGTGGCCCAAGGGAATACCCCACAAGAGAAAGATTCCCTAGAGATTTGCCTTCGGTAAGATCATTAGTTGCAAACGAGAGCTTTTTTGCCGGCTTGACATAGGACATTGGCCATTCTTCACGAGATGAAGGAGACGCCGAGAGGTTGTGAGCGTAAGAGGAAGGGAGTTGCGGAGGAGGAGCCCCTAACAGGGAAGAGCCCTGAAGGAGAGGAAAATTCAGTGGATTAAGAGCCATCATGGCCAAAAGGCCGGAAAGCCACGGTGAGAACTAAGCCGCCAAGAAGCACAAAAAACCCAAGCAGAGCTAAACCCTAGCAGCCCCTTCGAATGATTCTCCCCGCTGCATTAAATTTTATTGCTCATCATGATCAAACACGGACTGCACTTCCGTCTCAATCCGTTCTAAATACCCCTTTTTTCGAAAACCAAAAAGGAAGCGAAACGCGCAAAACTCCAACTGTCAACCTCTTCCGCTGCTTCCATAAGGGAGTTTCCAAAGAGAACCATTAATTACCAGCATCTCTAGTTTACTCTATTAACTCCTCGAGAGCTGGAAAGGCCTCTAATGCACCCCTTTGGAAGCAGCATAAGTACGGTACATACACGAAACTACGTGGTCCAGACCTGAAATAGAAGATTAGAGAAAAGAAAAATAGAACTTTTCTTCGCACAATGGGAGAAGCGGCGGCGGCTGTTTCGTTGGAATCCAGCGAGGAGAAGAGGGACATATGGATAAAGCATTATTCAAGCTCTCACCGAATACTTCTTGTAGGCGAAGGAGACTTCTCCTTCTCGGCCTGCCTAGTGAAGGCATTCGGTTCTGCCAACAATATGATCACAACTTCCTACGATAATTTAGGTGAGTTGCCCGTCAGCACTGGATCACGATTAGCTTATGGTGGAAATAGCTATTGAGACATTTCGTTGTTTTTTTTTTCCTTAACAAGAGCAGATAACTTAATAAGAATTTGTTTTAAGATAATTATCAATTTTAATAATGATTCAAACAATGATTATTTAGTTGCAGGCCTGTAGGACAGTGGGTGTTTGAGATTCAGATAGAAAACATAGCACTTAGGCAATAATTATTAATTGGTTTGATATTTTTAATTGGTTATAAACCAATTATAATAGTTCTAAAGATTTTAATAAAATATTTAAGTACTGTTTGGTTGGCTAGGAGTTTCTTTTTGTGTTTGGCTTTATGTAATTTAAAATAACTAACTTGACAGATTCCATCATTTTAACTAATCAATATTAATTTATGCTTCATTTGGGACCAATTGTTTTACTGTTTTTTAAAGTTATTTTTTAGTATAATTTTTTTTTAATAAAATTATTTTAAAAAACATTAAAATGGCCATCCCAAATCAAGCCTTACACTTTCAAAATACATTTCAGAGTTGTGAATTTGAAAGAAACAAAATCGATACTTCTTAAGACATTATTATAATCTACAATCAACAAAATCAGCTCGCTAAAAATGTCTGACGTGCCTTTACATATCAGATGAATTGCTGGAGAAGTATTGGACTGCTAGGATTCACCTTGATGAGCTTAAAAGCCTAGGATGCACATTATTACATGGAATTAATGTTGAAAACATGCATGAAGATGGCTTCTTGAAACTAATGAGGTTCGAACGAATCATCTTTAATTTTCCTCATGCAGGACATTTCGGGTTCCATGAAACAGATAAATGGCTCATTTTGTAAGTATATCACTGTGTATCTATCAATTAACCAATGCTGATGTCTACTAATTGCATTATCTTAAAATAATATGGAACTTCGATGTTGATTATTGTTTTAGGAGGCACAAGAAGTTACTTTGTGATTTTTTTAACAGTGCAAGATGCTTGCTAAGTGAAAATGGTGAGATACATGTTAGTCATAGGGATGATCATCCTTACAATAATTGGGAAATTAATGATTTAGCAAAGGAGAAAGGTCTGATCCTGAAGGAAATGGTGGAGTTTCAGAAGGAAGATTATCCTGGCTATCAGAACAAGAGAGGAGGTGATGTAAGGAGCAACGGGACATTTCCTCTTGGAAATAGGAGTTTCACTTTCAAGTTTTCCTTGAGCAAGGATTTAGAGGACATTGAAAATTTCAGATTTATTGATATAGTCATTTAGTTACAATATTTATTTGTTTGACTTTCTTTATTATAGCATTGCGCAATTATTTGTCCTCCTAACTTGTGGTTTTGACCCCTATACCTCTTAAGTGAACTAAACACTAAACGAAAGTTATTCAAGTAAACACTTGTGCATGACAATATGATGTTACACTCTCATTTGATTTTTTTAAAAATATTTAATAGAGCATTATGCTTCTGTGGCTATTCATATAATTTATAATTAAATATAAGAAAAGAAATACATGTATTAATGTGATTCATATAAATTATGAAAATTTATTTTATATATAAGATTATTTGGTCAGAAGTATAACTTTATATATTAAGAATTCATAAAATAAATATGCACTACTTTAAAGTTTATTTTAAATAAAAGACTATTTGGGTTGTATAATATTATACATTGAGAATTCATAAAGTAAATATACACTTTAGAAAATGTAATGCTATACAATTAGGATCTCTTTATTTGTAAGAATTTGATAACTCACAATTTAAAAATATATCAACCATTAGTCCAAGTTACATTGTTGAAATTGAATTGACTTCATATGACATGATATCATTTTAGAAAAAGAAGCCTAAAATATTTTAACAATTTTTTTATTAGAAAAAGAAGCCTAAATTTTTTCAGGCAATGGTGCTCGGCCGCATTGCACCATTGGGTGTAGTGACCCACAATGGAGAGGGAACATGGGCCACAAATTGAGCAACGATCAACTTGGGAAACAAGTCGGTGCGTGGTGTGGCGGCATGAATGCGTGCAATGCATGGTGGAGTACGAGTATGCCATGTGGTGTGCATCTATGCATCACTAACATAATCAACATTTGATTAGGCCGTTGATCATAAGTTGTTTGGATTAATAGCCTAGATTGAGGCACGCCACATTGTATAGGATTTGAGGGTGAGATCCTGTGCAACGAGTCGAACGGTTCATCTGTTCAACTAAATCTGAACTGTTTAATAAAAAATGGATGGTCCAAATTTTATCTTCTTTCTTAGAATAAATTTCTTAATGATTTTTTTTGCTTGCTGCGGGTTATCTATTAGACCAAACTTGATGAATTTTTTTGGAAATGTTTATGACCTTATGAACTACAGACAACTTTATTTTGGGGGCTTTATATGACATATTTTAAAAGTTATTCACAATCAAAGTTTTAACTAAAATATGAAGTATACCTCTATCCAATGGTTGAAATGACTCATTATTGGGCTCGTTTTCTTCATAAGAACGAGAGGAACAACTTCTATGAGGTACTCCCCTGCTAGAAATATATGGATCAAAGGTTATGACGACATAAAAGAAAATGGCCTATGTCTCCTTGGATCTCTCCTCTAACACACTTTTGTCGGTGCGAAAGGGTGGCGAAGGGAGAAAGAAAGCTCCATCAATCAAATTAAAGTGATGGGGGGAGATTTGGAGGTGGCTTGAATGCAGAGTTTTGGGTGTTATGCGTGCAATGAGGGTTTTGGAAGGCTTTTCCCTATTCTAAGCCATGGAGCTTACATGGAGATGGATTGGAGATATCTCTTGGATGCTTTCTAAGGGTTCCATGAGGTTAATAACGACAAGCTTATGCGGAAAGTCCACATTTTGGTATTTTATGAATGGGAAATCACTTGGGTTAGGTTTTTGGTTGAACCAAGGGTCAAGCTTGGGATTGTGCAGCTTTAGAAAGGTTGTAGAGTCACTTTAGATCATCTCAAAGAGCTGTTATGGGTTGGAGACATGCCTTTTGATGCACTTAGACCCAATTTTTAAAGTTTTTAATTAGTTCGACCACTTTGACTAATCAAACTTGGCCAAGATAACATCATAAACTATGGGGAGTCCTTAGAAGCTATGTGAAATGCATGCATGAAATTAGACCAACTTTTACTTTTTAAATATTTTTGAATTTTTTTTAATCAATTTGACCACTTTGACTAAGTTGACTAAGTCAACATAATCAGAGCGACTCACTCATATTTTGGACTCATCAAAGTGATCAAGGAGCATGGGTTTGAATGTGGAATTTATGTATGAGATAAAAAAATGAGGTCAACACTAATCTCCATAGTGAGTTGAACACAATTAATTTTATGTAATTTGACACTTAATATCTTGTCATCCATGAATAAGCATATCTCCCTATCATAAGGTTCTATTATCCTACATTCTAGTAGTGTAAAAGCTACCTCCTTAATAGTAGAATAACCTATATCATTAGTGTTGTCTTACATTGATGATGAAAATCATAATATTTCTAATGTGCAAATCAAAACCAGAATTATACTTTATAAAATTTAAAATATAGCAAAACTTCACTGGAACTTTGGTGGTGTATAAAGAAATTTCCATCTAATGAAGATTAATTACTATAAATGAGGATTGCATAAAATATAAGGTAAATACACTAGAATATTTTTTTTAAAATCTTAGTGTTATTTTCTTTTTCGTAGCAAATTTTATTTTTATGTTTGTTTCATTATGTGGTTTCACTTCCCATCCAAAATAGAGATAGTCACCATACATGTTGGTCACTTTAATGTTGGCCTTTTGATGATGCGGTTAGAAGTGTATATGCATTGAATTTGGCCTATATTAAGACAAGTAGAGGTAGACCTAAAAGGAATTAGTTAGAAAAGATTAAAAATAAATTTTTTATTAGATTTAAATGAGAATTTGACTCTTAAGAAGACAATGGAGAAAAATGATCATGCATTCAACCCAACTTAGTGGGATAAAGTCTTGTTGTTGTTATTGTTATTGCTGTTATTTTTTCATTTTAAGACCAACTCCAACCGAACTGCATACCACCGTATGTCATCTATCATTCACTTCATTCAAACTCCAAATCTCGCGCCAAAATTTAGCGGGAGAACAGTGTTGAAAATCATAGCTTCGTCGATCCGTCATGTACACCACACGTCATGTCGCACACCTGCCACGTGGTCATTGGAAAGATAGAGACACTTCCCTGAAATTGATTTAAAAAAGTCAATTAAATAGTTAAAATTTATAAAATTCACAGTAATTTAAAATTTTCAATAAATTTAATGATTCTGGTGTCATTGGAAAGATAGTGACACTTAGTATTTATTAAAATAAATTTCTAAATATTTTGATTAATGGATTATGAGATATATATGTTTTTTGAAATTTATTTATTAAAATTTTCTCACAATTCGGTGGTCAAATTGGACCCAAATTTTTTATGAAATTTTTTTAAGCATCTTAGGCATTCACTGCATTTTTCTTAGGTCCAGATGCTCTCTAGATTACTGTGGTGTGAATTTATAAAGTGATGGTTTCATTTTAGTCCCAATCATAACTTCCCAAATTGATAGGATACAGAAGTAATTTTTTTGTGGTGTGCTTGCATACGTGTCAGGGTTAGTTGAACAAAATTTTAGATCCATTGGAACACCAGTGACACCCAAGAAAAATAGTTAAGGTCAATGTATGGATGAGTTAGAAAATTTCTAGGAAATTTCACACACACCTAATAGGATTAAAATATTAGAAAATTAAACTTAGCGATATCATACACCTTAGGTTCAAATTTTATTGGAATTTTAAACGATCAGCAAATTTATTAACTTAAAAATCAGCCTTTTAAACGAGCTTGAAACTTTAAAAAATTACAATTAATTCAAATTAAATTAAAAAATACATATAATATATCAAATTGCTCCTAACGAAACCTTATATCTAAGAAAATTAAAAGCTCCATATTTGGCCTCTAATTTTAGCTTAATTTAATAATTAATAAAATTTAATAATCAATTAAATTAAATAATTACAAAATTGATCAAATAAAGTGCATAATTATAATTAATTCCTCGCCAATTTGACTAAGTTGTCAAGTCAGCATGATCAAAGTGACTTACCCATGTTTTGGACTCATCAAAGTCATCAAGGAGCATGGTTTGGAATTTGAAGTTTATGTATGACATAAAAAATGAGCTCAACACTAATCTACATAGTGAGCTGAACACAATTAATTTTATGTGATTTGACAATTTGAAGTCATTGATGTTTTCACTAGACATTTGCAAGAGGATGTACCATGGTGTATGCTTTTTACTAATGATATTCTTCTTGTTGATAAGACTAGAGAGGAAGTTCAAGGTAAGCTTGAATTATGAAGGTCAACCTTAGAGTCTAAAGGTTTTCGCTTGAGTAGATCTAAAACTGAATTTATGGAGTATAATTTTAGTAGCAATAGAACTAGTAAGGGGATTGTGACTTTGGACGATCAAGTCATTAATAAGAGTACACGTTTTAGATATCTTAGATCTATTGTTCAGAGCAATGGTGAAATAGATGGGGATATTATCAGTAGAATTCAAGTTAGAGGTTTGAAGTGGAGGAATGCATCGGGCTCGTTGTGCGATAGAAAAATCCCCCTCAAACTTAAAAGAAAATTGTATAAGATGGTGGTGAGACCTGCAATGCTTTATGGTGCCGAATGTTGACCATTAAAAGAGAAGCATAATACTAAGTTAAGTGCTGCAGAGAAGAGGATGCTTAGGTGGATGAGTGGCTTCACCCTTAAAGATAGGATACAAAATGAGCATATACGTGAAAAGGTTGGAGTAGCTCCAGTGGAAGGTAAGATTAGAGAGAGTCTTCTTAGATGGTTTGGTCACATTAAACGGAGGCCTTTTGATGACCCGATTAGGAAAGTTAAGGAATTAGATTTGACTTATGTTAAGAAAGGTAGAGGTAGACCTAAAAAGACTTAGTTAGAAAATATTAGAAACGATCTTTCTTTATTAGATTTAAATGAGAATTTGACTTTTAACAGGACACAATGACGAAAAAAGATTCATGTAGCCGACCCCACTTAGTGGGACAAAGGCTTGATATTGTTGTTATCATTGTAATTGACAATCAATAGATTCTTATCCATGAATAAACTTATCCCTATCATAAGGTTCCACTATTCTACATTCTTGTACTGCAAAAGCCCCCTCCTTAATAGTAGAATAGCCTATACAATT